GGATATGTTGATTGAAAATTGTATCAATGCAAGGTCAGTCTGTTTTTCTTGTGGTTTAATTAGTAAGGTTGTTTTTGAAAGCTAGTTAGTAGATGAACGTTAAATTCGCTTCCTCGCCGGTTCTATTTAAGTTGCTAGACAACGGCAAATGAATAATAAACACGATTCCCTTGGGCCCGAGGGGATCGACTATCGCGACAGACGAACCGGGCCGAGTTTAAGCCACAAGGAAAACATTAAAATAACCGTAAGGCACGAATAACCGCTGAATTTTCTCATCCGCAGTCTCGCCTTTTGTAAATTACTGGGAGACGTCCGTGGCCGGAGGGGTAAACGATTTAATACATTTCTGAGATAATATTGTGACAGGGGCGGCGAGCACGTGTCGGGTCAATCAGGTGATTACTTCAGCCCTGTGATACGATTACCAACGGCATCCCTGGCATCCCCATTGATAACACCCTTTTTACAGGGGAACGCACTGCTCGAATTCAATCCGATTAATCAATTTACAAGGCAGATATTAGCCAAAGTGATGTTGAAGTAACGTTACGAAAATTTCAATAAATTAATTATTCTTTCTAAGGTCTTGGTTGAGATAAAAAAATCAGTGTCACGAGCTGGATTCGAACCCACGACCTTTGGCTCAATACTCCGCTCTAACCACTTGAGTTATCGTGACTTCGATCCACCTGAACACTAACTTCCCATCTCAACCCCACCTTTGAATTTGAAAAGTAGCAAACCGGGGGAAAAATTCAAAGGTGGGGTTGAGGTAGGAAGTTAGTGTTCAGGTGGATCAAAGTCACGTTAGCTCAAGTGGTTAGAGCGGCGTATTGAGCCGAAGGTCGTGGGTTCGAATCCCGCTTATGACACTGCATTTTTTATCCTTAATTAAACTTTACTTTACTATATATAAGTTTCTATTTTTAAATACTTGAATGCGAGAGGTCCGACTGGCTTAGACCTACAAGACCTACAATCTTTCGAATTTTCCCTCTTTTTCGATGTCAAGAGAATAGTACATATAATGGACTTATAAATATTCTTTGACATAAGAATTTATTTGTTTCAAATACACACATTAAGCGAGTTTTCAAGTAAACATAGAATTTAACAATGTGTGGTGATTAGTGACCGTTAATCGCTAGTTATTTAGAAATCGTGAGATGCGGTCTGGTGTGATGTAGGTTTCAGAAAAACATTTTCTTTATCGTGCCAACGTTTCGATCTTTATTGAGATCATCTTCAGGGCTCAAAGGGTTTGACAATGTCATTCTAAAAAAATTAAATTTTCTATCTTTTAGAAAAATCAAATTTTCTATAGATAAATTTCCATAGTAAAAACTTTGTATATCACACTTTTAAACAATAAAAGCAAATTTTAAGTAAAAAATTATATGAAATTCTTCATTTTTTAATTAAGTCCCACGTAAAATTTGCGTTTTATAGAATTGAAAGAAATTTTTTTGTAAAAGCTTCCTTTTAAAGAAAAACACGTATAAACTTAATTTAAAAGTAAATATTGTTGGTGTTAATAATAAAAATAATAATCCGAATCAGGAATATCAGGGAAGAATTCTTCAGAAAGTTCTACATTCGTTCGCCAACTTAACATCTCAACCTTTCGAATTTTCCCTCCTTTTTGATGTTTTTCTGAGTGGGTTCGAATCCCGCTCGTAACGCTAACTTTTCATTTCAACCAAGACCTTACGTAAAAAATATTAATTAGTTGAAAGAAATAATTTTGCCAATCAGGCCAATAAATATAATGGGGTTGTTGTTACATTTTAACTTTTTATCTATAGACCTGATTGTTCGTGGGAAATTTAATTTTTTGACGCTTAGACTTATCAAGTTTGGTTTAATTACTTCAGGCCATTTATCTTTTATATTTGTTAAATTCACTAATTTCGTGGTCCGCTTGACGAATTAATACATTACAATTAATTAAGGTTTTTAGTTGAGATGAAAAAAAGTGAATGGCACGATCAGGATTCGAACCCACGATCTTCGGCTAGATAGGTCAAGTGGTAGAGCAGCGGCGTATCTAGCCGAAGATCGTGGGTTCGAATCCCGCTCGTGCCATTAACTTTTTTTCATCTCAACTAAAAACCTTAATTAATTGTAATTTTATATTTGTATATATTTTACCATAATCCTGGCTAAAATCTTGGGTAAATTGATTAAAAACAATTATTTTATTTTCTTAATGTCCATAACATAATTTCTCTGTTTAATGATGTTAGTAATATTTCAGAAGAATTGGGTAGCCGTAATCGGATTTTTGGCATCGCTCTAGATTTAAAAAAGGCTTTTGATTCCGTCGACAATCGATTGTTAATATAAAAAAATTAAAATTAATACGAATTGGTGAAGTTTCACTTAAACTTATTGAGTCTTATTTAGTAGGTAGAACTCAGACGATAAAAATTGGAACAGTCTATAGCAATCCATCGCCTATCGTCTCTGGGGTCCCTCAAAGAACGGTTTTGGGTCCTCTATTTTTCCTTTAATATATTAGTGATTTTTTAAAATTGAAAATATCCGATAATTCCTTAAATTTAGTAATTTCGTGGTCCGCTTGACCAATTAATATATTACAAATAATTAAAGTTTTTAGTTGAGATAAAAAAGTCAGTGTCACGAGCGGGATTCGAACCCACGACCTTCGGCTAGATACGCCGCTGCTCTACCACTTGAGCTATCGTGACCTCGATCCACTCGGACA